GCGGGAAGGGCGCCAACAATTGGCCACTTTGAAGGGGAACATCTGGTACACTTATCCTGACTAAAGTTGGTCATCGCCTGCCAAAGGCTCTGGTGGTGACGCTGGCTGGGGATCCACAATGACTCCCTTCCTGTCGTTGGACTGGTCTTGGTCTCGTTGCACCGAAATGGGTGCCTTTGCTTGATGCTCTCGCCTGCGCTTGCTCCCTTTGCACCAAAGAGGAAAGAAGGACTCTGCGCGGGCTGGCGCCCGCCTGGCACCCTTGGTCGTCATGACTTGCGTCACGGGCACCTTGTGAGGTACCCCGCCTTAATCTCTCCACCTGATGAGGCCGTGCCTGAGGAAGCTCCGTGTCGTCCGCCCCGCGAGGCTTGGCCCCTAGCGAGGGTCTTGGGTCTGTGTTGATGAAGATGGACCGTGCTGGGCCCTCCTTTGAGCCACGCCGCAGACCGCAGGCAGGCAAGTCTGGGGACCCCCGTTTCCAGAACGCCGACAAAAACATAAATAAGAAAACGGGCTGGCCCAGTCATGCGCGCCATGTGCGAAGATTAGACTATTTGATGCATAGTGCGAAAAATAAGGTTTTGCCAGTTATGTGGGCTGGCTTCGCTCGGCTACAGCTCGCGCATGCCACATACGAAATTCTGGAGAAAAATTTAGTATCACCTTGGATAGAAAAATAAAATTCAATGGTGAACAGGGTGAAAAAAATAAAGAAACGCACCTTCTTTATTAGTAAAAAGAGTATAAATATAGATATAGATATAAAATTAGACTAGGTCTTCTTTGGACCCCGTATGTTTCCTTTTTTCACACATTAAACATACAATTATCAAAAAAATGTGTTCCACAATCTTATGTTTTACACATGCAATACTATTATATTCATTTATGTTTTTTAGTCTTTTGTAAGTCCCGTGACTCAAAGAGTCTAAGGTTCCTTTGGTTTGAAGAAATTTTGTAGGATAGGATATGTATAAAAATAATTCTTTTAGAGACCTTAGGTTTGTAGGAATAGAAAATTATTATCTTTACCCTCCTTGTTTCAAAGGAAAACAAACATTAGCCTTGACTTAATGAAAAAAATATTATATAATGTGAATTAAAGGATATTTTTTTTCCAATAATAAAGCGGCTATCGTTTCTGGTCGTATGTCATCATAATTGCTATTAAAGTTATCATAAATTACCCACTATGCCACAGATAAGTGAAGAAAAAAACAATTCATTTTTTCTCGAAATCACACCCATGCTCTGTAGTTCTTATATAAACTGTTGCGCATAAAGAATGTCAGCACCTGAGCAACTCAGTGGTTATTGTCCCTCCTCATGGGAGACCAGGGGTCGAACTCCTTATTCTTTTCTCTCATTTTCCCCTATCGCAAGCGCGCCTACTCCTCCTGCATGTTGTAATGGGCCGGCCCATTTGTAGGTCGTAGCGCCCTGTTTCATATTTTAGTTTCTATTTTTACTTTGTTATTTCTGTTTTCGTTTTTTCTTCCTTAAATTAATTCATTATTTCCAAAAGAACATAATTTCTAAAGTTGTAAGTTTTTCAGAAAATATAGAAAAATCATAAACTGTTTGTGAGTTCAAAAAAATCGGAAAATCATAAAATGATCATGATTTCAAAACAATGTTCACATATTATAAAAAAACATGATTTAAAATAAATGTCCATGAAATCAAGAATCTTCATGATTTTTTTAAAGGATCCACTATTCAAAACATATTCAAGAATTTTAAAAAAATGTACATGAAACTTTGGAATACGTTCAAAAAAATAAATAGATCCATAAATAATGAACATAACAATACCTCTTTCTCTCTTTTTTCCGCAAGCACACCTACTCCTCCCGCACGTTGTAATGAGCAGACCCATTTGCAGGTTGCCGCGACCCTGTTTTCTATATCATTTTTTGCTTTTTACGTTCTCACTTCTGATTTAGTTTTTTCTTCTTTAAATTAATTCGTGATTTCCAGAAGAACCAAATTTTAAAAGGTTGTAAGCTTAAAAAAAGTATTGAAAAATCATAAAATGTTTGTGAATTCAAAGATCATTCGGAAAATCATAAAATGATCATGATTTCGAAAAATGTTCAAATATTATAAAAAACATGATTTCAGATCATTGTTCATGAAATATAAATGTTCATGATTTTTTAAAAGGATCCATTATTTAAAAAATATTCATGAATTTATAAAAAATGTACTTGAAAATTTTGAATATGTTCACAAGAATTAAAACAGATCCGTAGATAATGAACATAACGATACCCCTTTTCGGTCCTTTTTTCTCTCGCAAGCACGCCTACTCCTCCCGCATGCGGTAATGGGCCGGCCCATTTGCAGGTTGCAGCGTCCCTGTTTTCTATTTCATTTTTTTGCTTTTTGCGTTCTTATTTCTGTTTTTGTTTTATCTTCTTTAAATTAGTTCGTGATTTGCAGAAGAACGAAATTTCAAAAGGCTATGAGTTTTTTAAAAAGTATTGACAAATCATAAACTGTTTGTGAATTCAAAAAACATTCGGAAAATCATAAAATGGTCATGATTTCAGAAAAATGTTCACATATTATAAAAAAACATGATTCCAAATAAATGTTCATGAAATAAAAAATGTTCATGATTTTTTAAGAGATCCAGTATTCAAAAAATATTCAGGAATTTATAGAAAATGTACAACAAATTTTAGAATATGGTTACAAAAACTAAAACAGATCCATAAATAATGAACACAACGATACCCCTTTTCTCTCCTTTTTTCTCTCGCAAGCGCGCCTACTCCTCCCACACACGGTTATGGGCCGACCCATTTGCAGGTTGCTGCGCCCTTGTTTTCTATTTCATTTTTTGCTTTTTACATTCTCATTTCTGTTTTAGTTTTTTCTTCTTTAAATTAATTCATGATTTCCAGAAGAACCAAATTTCAAACGGTTGTGAGATTTAAAAAAAAAGTATTGACAAATCATAAACTGTTAGTGAATTCAAAAAACATTCGAAAAATTATAAAATGATCATGGTTTCGAAAAATTGTTCGCATAGTATAAAAAAATCACGATTTCAAATAAATTTTCATGATTATTTTTAAAAAGATTCAGTATTAAAAAAATCGGGAATTTGATAAAAATGTCCATGAAATTTTTGAATATTTTCAGAAAAATTAAAATAGAGCCGTAAATAATTAACAGGACGAACTTTCGCTTACCTACATGTTTTATTAGGAGATCTGTAGAGGTCGTTTTATGATTTATCTAGTCCCTCGCTTTGGGTAAAAAAGGTTTTCGTGTCTTGTACAACAGTGAGCCCTCAAAATTTGACACAACTTTCTATGAATTAGTTTTTGTAAGCTATATAAAAATGTCTAAATTTCTATTTTGCCCTCATACACAGTTATGTTTATTCTGGTGCCACATTACTGATTATGATAAACCGATCTATGCTAGGTCAAGGCGAGACACTCATTCCTTAGTCTAACTTAGACAGGGGCTATCAAATGCAGTTTGCTTAACAATATTTTTTCGTTGCGACGCTTTAGGAAGTCAAGTCGTGATGTGACGATCACATTTTTTGTTTTTGAAATGACTTTTCAAAATTCCCTTATCTCGTCATGACATCACTCAGACATAGTTTCTGAAATGACATTTTAAAAGTCTTTATGTCGTCTTGGTATTTGATTCAGACTTATCTTATATCTACTCCAGTTTTCTCCTGTTGCAACGCACATGCATATTTGCTAGTAGTTTATATTCATACTCATAAAATTTGAGATGCATAACATTTACTCCCTCCTTTCATCTATATAGGGCCTAATACATTTTTCGAGGTTAACTTTGACTATATGTTAAAGCAATAATATATGACATGCAACTTACACAAAGCATACCATCAAATTCGTATGTGAAAGGAAATTTCAATGATATAAGTTTTACATTATGCATGTCATGTATTAAGGGCATGGTCAATGCATAGCCCCATGGTGATGCCTCACATGCCATGTAGGATCGAATAACAGAAAAGGTAAGTTCGGATGGGGAAGCGGGATCCTCTCCAGGAGACGGATGCTTAGAGACAAAAAGTGTGGTCCAGTGCATAAAGTTTAAAAAGTTAAAATGGAGAGGAGGGATGCATGTGTAGTGAAAATTACTTTCTATTTTTTGATGAGGTTCACTAGCAGTAGATTGCATTAGGGAGAAAAAATCAACACATATGCTTCAAGTTACTTTTTGTCATGAGGCATCTGTATCCATATGCCATCATTGTACATCCATAATCTTGTCAATAGTCAAAGACGGTTTTGAAAAAATCATTAGATCATATATAGATGGAAGGAGGGAGTAGATTTTTTATAAAGTTTTTATTTTCTTCCCATAGTATGAACGTTTCCGGTCCACATAAGGAGCCGACCGATCCGGCCGCCGATCCCCTTGCACCAAACCACGCCGAGCCACTTGTTCTTCCCCGCTCCCTTGCTATTTTTCTTTGTCCCCATTTTCGCTGTCGGATTCCCTCCCTATTCTTGTCCGATCCCGCCCTCTCTACTTTTCTGGTTAGCTCGTGACGTGTCCCCGTTGGTGCTGGTTGGTCGCCCACGACGCCATCAAAGAACGCCACTGTCCCTCTCGCAAAGATCGAAATCTTGGCAGCGTTGCGTTTGGGCAGAGGTTGAATCTTTGAGGGTGGCTTGGGCTGTGACCAACGGGGCAAGACGGCGGCTATAACGGCGGCAGCGGTGGCGACGGTGGCGCCGTCGTCGGGGGGTGGGGGAGGGGGCGGTGGAGGCGGGTGCCTGGATTGCCTGCAGGATGTGGTGAGGGCGCTGGCGATTGGGTCGTGCCTGCCGGCAGACCAGCGGCCGATCGAGGTGGCGGCCCTACCCGGGAAGGTGGGAGGAGGCAGGAGGAGGGGGGAGGAGGCCCCCAGGAGGATTGCTTGGACTGGGTCTGGCAATGTGGCCTGCCTCTTCACGCGGCAGGGGAAGAAGGGCACCAACCAAGACGCCATGGTCGCGTGGGAGGTATCTGCACAACAAGATCCCTTTATTTACACTTTTGGTGCTTTGAATGTTCATTTCCTCTTTATTTGATAATGGCTACTAATGAGCTTGCGTAGTAAAATAGTTTCCTGGGAGTTGAAGTATCGTCAACAATTAGGGGTTGTTTATTTATCGGGCAACGTCAAGTTAAAATGATACATTAATAAAATCAAAAATATGAATTGCCAACAACTTGAGGGGCTTTCACAGGATAAACAAGGCATAATGATCCAACTTGTTTTAGCCAACACGAGACTACATTTCGGCTTGATATTTGAAAAGAAACAACTCGATGGCTATGAATGTTGCTCATGGAAGATGTTTCTAGCTCTAACTGATGGTGGATTAAGTATTGGCCACCATCTTTCCCACTTCCATACTTCCATATGAACTATGAAGTCTTATTTGTTGGATATGGCAACCGTCTTGCTTACCCATATGCTGTCTCTTAGTTAAGGTGGTTATTGATTATTATGCGTTTTAGGCCATGAGGTTATGTTCTAGATGAAACTGTCCATGCTTGAATGAGGCATGCTTGCAAATGCAGGATCAGATAAATGACTCGCCCAGTCAAAGAGTACCCCCTTGTGTGAACCATTTATTTGAATCCAACAGTTGCGTGCATATCAAAAGTATAACAGAATAGTGACCTTTTCTAACTCATTCCACTTTCGACACTCTTTATGAATTAAATCATGCCAATTGTATCGAGTGAACGTGTGGAGCCTGGTCTTGTGGCATGACCGACTCCGCAAGTGTGATGGCTGAGCATGCATTGACATAAGGTGTATGTCAACGTCGCGTTTCATTGACATCAGGTGGTTGTCAACGTCGCCGTTGCATTCGCGCTGTAGCATTCTCCATTAAATTATATAGATACTTGACAAATGGATATTGATGTTTGCCTCCTTGTTTTCTTGCTCTTGGATGCCTTGGGGCATGATGTACAGAACTTCAATGGGAGATCAGACACAGTATTTTGTGGAGTTTTTGATGGTCATGGTCCACATGGCCATCTCGTCGCGCGGAAAGTAAGAGATACTCTCCCTTTGAAGCTGTGTGATTTGATATATGATGACTATGGGGAGAGCCCAACCAGCAATTCAGATGGATCAGTTTTAGAAGAGAGTTTATCTCCATACCCAGATGCAGAGGACAAGTCTCCCACATTCACCGCACAGAAAGAAGAACATCTAGAATTCTTTGACTCAATGAAAGAGTCTTTCCGAAAAGCTTTTAGAGTTATGGATAAGGAGCTTAAATTACATCGGAACATAGATAGCATTTGCAGTGGAACTACCGCAGTTACTTTAATTAAACAGGTACAGTGGAACCTATTCCTTGAATGGCTTTAATTACTCAAAAGTTCCAGGTATGAGCAATTGATTTTTTCTCACTATACCATCAGGGTCAGGATCTTATTGTCGGGAATCTAGGTGACTCTAGAGCTGTATTAGGCACTAGAGATCAGAACGGTCATTTGGTTGCCCATCAGTTGACAGTTGACCTGAAACCTGATCATCCAAGTAAATATCTTTCACTCTCAAGTTTAAATTAATGAATCTTCTATATTATATCTCTTCTGTTTAATGTGTTGGCTTAATCCTACTACTTGTGACTGTTTATGTGATGCCATTAATTGAATGATTCTTTTTCTGTTGCTGCTGAATTGGCACATTCTTGCTCATTTTCTCAGAACAAGAATGTATGTTATCTCTTCCTTGTCTCCAATCATTTTATATATGTTTATATTTCTAATATTTGAAGAGTGGTGACTTAGAATTTTCACCTTGTTCTTGCTGATAACCATGGTAGTAACTTCACAACATTTTTTACTGCAGAAACAAAAGTTAGAAATAAAGCAGTTTTGTTTTTAGTTGTGGATAACTTCTATATTATGTTTGACATGATGGATATGGTACAATCATCTTTATTTGTATGCAAATCATGAACATTTGATTCACAACTACACTAGGGAGGCCTTTAGATCGTGCTCATTCCCATCTATTGTTTACCATACATAGACCCCAGATCGCAGCTACACTTTGTGTTTCTCCAACGCTCACCACATGGCATTCCACGGTATCTTGCCGTAGGCCTTCTCCAAGTCAATGAACACTATACGCAGGTCCTTTTGCTCCTTGTATCTCTCCATAAGTTGCCGTACCAGGAAAATGGCTTCCATGCTCGACCTCCCAGGCATGAAACCGAAATGATTTTTGGTCACGCTTGTCATTCTTCTTAAGTGGTGCTCAATGACTCTCTCCCATAACTTCATTGTATGGCTCATCAGCTTAGTTGCACGGTAATTAGTACAACACTACAACTTTGAATTTCCCCCTTGTTCTTGAAGATTGGTACTAATATACTCCGCCCCCATTCTTCTAACACCTTGTTTGCCCGAAAAATGAGGTTGAAAAGCTTAGCTAGCCATACTATCGCTATGTCTCCGAGGCCTCTTCACACCTCAATGGGGATGCAATAAGATGGAGCACCTCCTTCCTTCCAACGACCCTCCTTAATGACCCTCTCCTTGAAAGCTTGAGCTGCCTCCCCCTTAAGCTTCCACCACTTCGTTCTAGTGACTTTGGCACACTTATCCCACTGGACACGAATCCAAAAACGGAAGTCAGCCACCACAAGCTTATGTTGAGGGACAACACTCTCTCCAGGTATCACCTGACAATCTAGGCAAGCACACATGTCTTCTCTTCTTGAGAGAACACAATCAATCAGTAGTGTTGACCACTACTAAAAGTCACTAGATGTGATTCTCTCTTTTTAAAGGTGTTAGTTATTATCATGTTGTAGGCTAGAGCAAAGCATAAGACATCTTCTCCTTCTTGATTCCTGATGTGATAGCCAAAGCCCCCATGCACCCCCTTCAAAACCTGTGTTAGATGTGCCCACGTGGCCATTGAGGTCTCCTCCTATGAGAAGAGCTTCTCGCCAGTAGTTGTTCCCGTGTCCACAACTTGAAGCCGGTATCCTCCACCTCCTTCGCCTTGTGGTCCCCTCCATTTGGTTTCTTGGACGCAAAGGGTATCAACACCTATCCTCACTGTTGTATCAACTAGCTCCCGTAACTTACCTGTTAAAGGCCCTACGTTCCAGCTACCTAAGCAGATCCTACTAGGCTTGGCTAGCTTCCTTACCCTTCACATACATCGAGTCAAATGCGAAGACCCTTGCTCATTTTTCACTACACCCGGGCGTCGATGTAGCGCGCCACGAAGGATGCGACGACCCGGTCCCTGCTCACTTATCACCGTATCCAGATGAAGATATGGCGCGCCACCAAGGGGGTGACGGCCTGACCCTTGTCCATTTTCTTCTGGGTTCCATCTCCATAAGTGTGGCTGAGTTTTGATGTTGGCTCACCAGGTCTATCACAACCCTTCTCCTTTACCCAGGCTTGGCACCGACTATGTTGAGACAACATAGGCGGAGTTTTTCTACCACTATTTCTAAAATTTAGAATAGGGGATGGGATAGGGGCTCTGCTGGAATGCTTTTATGTAGATGGCTCTCCTAAAAATGTAAATAAAGTCGATCATTAACTGTTTCATGGAAAATTACAATTCAGACCACATATTTTATTTTATTTACATGTAAACTGCATTTTTGTACGTAAAAAAGCTATACTGCATAAACTATGGACTTCGGCGATGTTTTTTCGCAAAACTTGCATTGAGGTATATTGAGAATAATAAAGAGGTATAATATGCTTGTTTAAGAGGTATATTTGAATGTGGGAGTACATACCTCTAGGAGTACAAAAAATTAGTCCTGTATATATAAATATAATTAACACAGGGACACAGACACACACACACGCGCACACATATCTCTGAACTAATTTTTTGACTCCTGGCAGTATGTACTCCCATATTCAATATACCTCCAAAAAAAAATCTATTATACCTCTTTATCATTCTTAATGTACCTTATTAATTATTCTAAGATCCTCAATACAAGTTTTACAAAAATATATCATCGCAGCCCTTAGTTTGAATAATATACCATTTTTTACGTTAAAAACAGTTTATGTGCAAATAATATGAAATATATGGTCTCAAATGGAAATTTTCCTATAACTTTGGAGCATCCAGTAATTATTAATGAAGTATATTAAAAATATAAAGAGATATAATCGATTCATCTGTGTGATATGTGAGGAGCGGTACTCCCAGGATTGTAGAATCATTTTATATATACACCATAGCTAGCTAGTAGCCCTTGGTTTGTATCAAGATGCGTGCAAGAAATTGCTGGAGTAGTGGCCACTTGTCTCACTCATTAAGTTGAGCATGTGCCTTTCTGATCGTGTCCACAGGCTTTCCTAATCATGGAAATTATATGCTTCCTAATTAGAATTACAGGCACCATGGTGTATATATACACACTTTTGTCAGTTTGCTTTTTACCGATATGGTTTGATCTTTGTGCCATATGGTTTTGATCTACTAATGTGCCGTGCGGATTCATTACCCGGGAAACAGTTTCCCTTGCGACAATCGTTGGTCCTCTCTAGCTGCAGTTATGAAGGTTGTTTTGTTTATGTCAGTGTGGGACATGTAGCTAGGTGAATGCACCGTTTTCTCTAGTAGGTTAGTCTATTAATGTCTGTTCAAACTAAACACTAGTTCCCTTCTGAGCCCGTATCCTAAAAAAAATCTGTTCCTACTGTTGTGATGAATGCTATTTGAGCCGTAACGAAATGTTAATATCTTAACAGGAGAGGCTAGGAGGATCAAGCGATGTAATGGACGGGTCTTTGCTCACCAGGATGAACCAGATGTGGCTCGCCTTTGGCTTCCTAACTGCAACTCTCCAGGCCTAGCAATGGCACGAGCTTTTGGTGATTTTTGTCTAAAGGATTTTGGGCTGATCTCTGTACCTGAGGTCACCTATAGGCGAATCATGGAGAAGGATCAGTTCATTGTCCTTGCCACTGATGGGGTAACCAAACAAAAATAAATAAACATTGCTTTCTGTGTGACTTGTTCTCGATGGGGAAACAATAGTTTCTTCTGATTCAATAAATGCACTGCCCATCTGTTAATATACTCTAATACCCAATTGCACTCTGGTTACAGGTGTGGGATGTTCTGTCCAACCAGGAAGTGGTGGAAGTTGTTGCCTCATGCTCTGGCCGTTCTGGCGCAGCCCGTGCTGTTGTTGATCTAGCAAATCAGACCTGGAAATTCAAGTACCCAACCTCCAAAACGGATGACTGTGCAGTGATCTGCCTTTTCCTGAGCAAAGAAGCCGATGCGGGTGGGCTATCAGGGCTGTCTGTTGCTAGCAAGGGAATTGGATCTAGTCCAGGGATGCCACCGCGATTAAGGACCCCCCAGCACTTCAGTAAAAGGGTAATTCCAGAGGATGCCGATGATGAATGTGACCCAAATATAAGTGGAGATGAGAGGTCATTGGAGGGCTTCACCCGGTTGAACACGCTTTTGACACTACCAAAGTTTGGTGATACAAGTCCAACCAAGAAATGAAGTTTTACTGATATTGATGTGGGAGTCTGCAGTTAGCAGGCACATTCGCTGATGTTTTGGAGATGAGAGCCTTATTGGCTATAGAGAGAAGTGCATATTTCAATCATGAACTCTTGCCCTAATTTAATTTACAACCCCGAACTTTAATACCGTCTAAATTACAACCCCCAAGTCTCAAAATCGGGTAGGATTCAACCCTCCCCTCTCTGTTGACCGGTTTTGACCTGGGGTGACCAGTTTTGACTAGTCAACGGGTCCAATCAGCATGCCACGTCAGATTTTTTTTTCAAAATTTCAAGAAAAAGTAAATAAAAATCTGTAAGATTAGGAAAAAAATATAAAAAAGCAAAATTCCAAAAAAATTGTTCGCGAAAAAAGCTAGGGAAAATAAAAAATGATTTTTTTTCTGGAAATATTTTCTTTTCTGGAATTTGAGTTTTTGGGTTTTTTCTGGATTTTTTTGGAAATTTGTTTTTTTATTTTCCGTGTTTTTCAGAAATTGGATTTCTTATTTCTTTTCCTGTATTTTCTTTGATTTTACAAGTTGTTTCCTTGGAAATTTTGCATTTTTTGCTGATGTGGCATGCTGACTGGACCTGTTGACTGGTCAAAACCGGTCAACCAGGTTAAAACCGGTCAACAAAGAGGGGAGGGTTGAATACTGGCTGGTTTTGAGAGTTGGGGGTTGTAGTTTAGACGGTATTGGAGTTCGGGGTTGTAAATTAGACTAGTCCAAAAGTTCGGGGTTGAAATATGCACTTCTCTCTTGGCTATATCAGCATGCCCGGTGAGCTCGTGTCCGAATGTCGGTTTACTCTTAAGGATGAGTAGGGTTACTGTTTTATGTAAATCCTAACTCTCATTGTGCAACATGCGTTGGGAGGCAAGTTTCAGTTTGTTTCGAGTCGGCTTTGCCTTTCTTGCATGTTCAAGCTGAGTTTATATATATGTTAATACGATGTACGTGCTCGGTTTTCTACGTGAACAGGCCCTGCTCATTATATTTGTATCTTTATCCCAAATGCTCTAAAGTGCAGCTACAGTTTTT